TATGATGGAAAATGTTCAAGTCGCCCAATTTCATCGAAAAAAAGCTGCGAGCCCAGCCTGATTTCGATCTCCGACCACTCCAACGCCACTGAACTGTCATGCCGTTGTACCTCCCTTTCCACCTGACGTATGATATCTGCGGCCCTGGCCCAGTTCTGTGCGTCCTCCAGGTGTCAAACCCAATGATCAATATCTTGGTGGTGTATGGCATCATAATATCTTGCTGATATATTTATATTTATATTTTATTAATATACCAGGAGCTTCACAGACCCAAAAAATGTAGGTCCAGTGAAAAAACACACTAGTTTTTTCGAGAAAAATATGTTTTTGGTAAAGAACCCCTATTTTGGTTTTTTGTTGGATTTGCACAAATTTGTCCAAATCGGGTGGACCTGTATCAAATTTCTCCTCATTACATGTAGCAATTTCGTACTGACAACTTGTGAAATCTGTCAGACAGAACGCGCGATCGAAACCGAAGCAAGCGTTATCAGACACGATGCGCGCTTTCTCCACCGGCTGCAGTTGCCTCCTATGCTGCGAACTTCCCCCTCAGCGGGACTGGAGGTAGTCAAAAAGTCACAATGGACATGCATGGCATTTCAAAAGTCAGCTTTTAAGACAAGAACCCAGTAAATTATAGTAAATTGACAATAGCTCCGGTAATCTGCGTTGCTTTCTTTTCGTCTGGATCGGGCAATTACCGGTTCGATCTTGCAAAACCACAAGCGAAGCCTTAAAACTCGACGTCGCGCCGTCAATTCGCAGAGGTAAAAAAAGAACATATTTTGAGGATTGGTTAAAACCGGTTGAATATGGGCTAAATATGGTTTAAATATGGGTTCCAAAAAAACGTTTTTTTTACTATATCAGAATCTGGTTTTAGTACGGGTTAAATATGGGCTTAGTACGGCTTAGTACGGCTTAAATATGGGTGTTTAGCATTTTTTGGGTACAGACCCTAAAATTGTCATCCGAAATGATTAAAAACTGAAAATGTTGATTGGTTTTTCGTGATTTTGTTAATGTGTTCAATACTTTTGTTCGACTGTTTGTTGGACTTTGGCAATCCAGAATCATTTTTTCCCAATGAAAAAATACAGCCATATTTCAATTTATGCTTCTAGGGGTGGTTCTTGGGAAAAAATCATCCAAGGACTCCAGATTGACTGTGATCACTAATGTTGTCCGACATGTTCCAAGAGCATCGGGCCCTTTCTTGTGAGAACTGCCAGCCAAAGCCAGCGGGGTGGAAGTATAATCAACATGAAGGTTACTGAGAGGGATAGATCCAAGGCTGGTATCAATAAAGGTGTTTGAATCGTCTAAGGGAACGAATCATGAGAAGTCATGACACCAAGCGTGAGAAAAAGTAGGCTTTTTTTCCTAGTAAAGAAAAAAAACATTTTTTCTGAGAAAAACCAGGCTTGTCTTCATAACTGACGAAAAAAACGTTTTTTTGGAAAAAGACCTACAAAATTGTGGGTTCCTTGATGCGCTAGGTATGTATATATATATTATATATAATATATATATATATTGTGAGATGCTACAAGTAATTGATATTCTGTGCTAAGTTTTGAAGGCTATCTGTCCTCTCAAAAACCAATGTCGAAGATTGGCTATTTGGCACCCTGGGTCCTGGTCGTACGGCAAACCCTTCAAAATCAACTTGCCTCACACAGCAGCGGTGAAGCGCAATGAAATACATGGAAACCCCAGCAGCATACTAATCCACCTTTGCAAACACCGAGGTCCGTGCTTTGATTTCGATCCCTTCTGAAAATACGAACATCTTTTTGGAGGAAAGAGGAAAGAGCATTGACAATGTCAGAAAGTGGTGGGACATTAGGAGCAAGACTTCACAGCCGTCAGCAATGTTGACATGAAGCAGTTTAAGAACTTCGTCAAATTGATCCGATCGAACCAAATGAAGTTGTACCAGCATCAAAAAAGAACTTTGGCGAACAGTTTCAGCATGTTTCAGCCATTTGGAGCCAATGAGTGCAGCTGAACCACTCTTCTCATGACCACAGACCTGCGTCCGCACGACGGACCGAGTTCTGGAAGCTCCGCATAAGCGGCCCAAGAAGTCACAGCCGCGGCAGTGCTTTTGGTCGTGGTGAGAGCGGCCGCCGGATTTCAGGAGCTCGACAATTCCATGGAAAGGCAAGTGCTGCAAGATTTCCTTGGAGCCAAGCTGAGATTTATCCCTCAGAGCTGCACCAGAGCTGCTTAATTAGATTTAATTAGCCTGTGCAGGGCTCTATTCGTGCTGTGGAACATCAATGGAACATCTTGAAACCATGTTGGACTGAAGAACCTGGCATTCCCTCTAGCCATTACTCTTGCTATCATATGCTATCATGGTATATTTTACTTTATGTATCTTTAGGTGTCAGGAATCCTGCAAAAGGGATCGTTTCGTGCCCAAAAGGGGTTGGTTCCAGAACACAAGCTGCTTGCTATACATCCTTATGCCACGCCCAAGAAACACCGGGCATCAGAACATGATAAACGTTGGACAAAATGTAGCCTGAGCGTCCATGCGTTGACGAGCACACATTGAACTGACAATGAGAACGAAGTGATTTTCCTTGTTGACTTTGAGTCCACGATATGCACCTTGCTGATCCTCGGCACGGTGGAAACGCTCCCCCTTCACTTCCACTGCCACGGAGACTTCTCGCAGTCCTGAGAGGTTGCAAAGAACGTCGCCTCTCCATATGATAAACCCCGTGAAGAGATGTTCAAATCAACCTGGCATGATGAATTTCCAAAAAGAGGAATGTCACATGATTTTCATCCACGTTCAGTCTTACCCACCTCATTCGCCGATCCATGGGTTGAGATTACCTACATTGAGGTCATGAATATACAGGGAGGACATGGGCAGGGTAGAATGATGTGGAATGCAACTAACAATCAGTGTCGGGTGGAGATTGACACCATGATTACCAAGCATCGACCATGTTTGCTCGCAATGTTGCCCAGGAAACTGTCGCGAGAACAAGCGTTGGGGGCTTCTGACCAGTTTCCTTCCTTGGTGCGGCACCATTTCCAAGTTTGGAATGATTTGCCGCCAATGAGAACCTTGGATCATGTCCAAAAATCATCCGAACAAATCATCCGAAAATTGAAAAATCATCACATTTCATTCTCGACCTTGGTAGGAAGCAAAACACCACCACTGGTCTTCTCTGAAAGGATGTGTGAAAATAGGGTGTCCCAAAATCCAGTGGTGCACCACGATTGTCCCAATGAAAATGACCATTTGCTGTGGGACATTTTGGGACTGCATCCTATTCTACAAACCCATCTGGATGAATCATGAACCCCAGTTTCAACTGTCTTGCCGCAGATTTCCACGTCTCGTTGCTGCGCTATTTCCACCAGAGCCTCCAGGGCCGCGCTGATCTTTTGAAGCTCCTGTAGGACTACGTCACTACCTGCCAAGATTGGAAATGCTGCAGGGCTGCAAACAGTCGCTGGTGCATTTGGTCTGTCCAATCCATCAAAAACCCATCAAATGTTATGAAAAAACAGCATCGTCATCGTCATCGTCGTCGTCGTCGTCATCGTCATCATCATCATCACCATCATCATCATCATCATGTTTTCTTATGTTTTTCTTCTTATTCTTCTTGTTCTTCTTCTTCTTCTTTTTCTTCTTCTTATGCGTCTTCTTCTTTTTCTTCTTCTTCTTCTTATGTTTCTTCTTCCTCCTTCTTCTTCTTCTTCTTTTCTTCTTCTTCTTCTTCTTCTTCTTCTTCTTCTTCTTATTCTTCTTCCTTCTTCTTCTTCTTTTCTTCTTGAATCATCATCATCATCGTCGTCATCATCATCTTCTTCTTCATCGTTTTCATCTTCATCTTCATCTTCTTCATCCTCGTAGTCATGGCTGAAATTTCAGAGATGAAACCACCAAGCAATTCTTATTGCTTATTCACGCCCAAAAGCAAAACTCAACCGAAGATATATATATATATTATATTGTTTCGTGCAAAGCAACACATGTGTGTTTCCCATGGTATCTACTAGTGAAAGGGGCTTACACCGTGGGTGATACTAACCATTCCATTCCGTTTCTACCAACTCACCTCAGCAAACTTCAACAGCTGCCGAGATAAGTGAAACATCATGGCACATCCCAGATTTTTTCAGCGACATCCCGCCTGCTCTCGATGCAATCTGGTTGATTGAACCACTCCTGGTTGGTCCTTCACCAGGTCCATCAAGATCACCAATGGTATTTTGGCAGACTTGGATCAAAGCCTGAAGGCTTTTCTGCTTGAAAGAATTTACCAACGCTACATGGGTTTGTCGGAGGTCCAAGGCATTGGGGTCTACCCTCACCATCAACGAGCAGATGTGACGTTGCTGCTCGTCTCGAAAGCCCAGCTGAGGTCCAACCTCTGTCAGGGTGGGCCAAGGCTCTTCATATCCCATGCTGGCGACGCTGTACTTCACCCTGTGATCACGGCATCTTTTGCAGAGGGCATCAGCACCACTCAAACGAGAGGTGAAGGCATGCTTGTCGGGGCACAGGAAGAAGTAGCGCCTTGCAGCATGCCACATGTTGCTGCCCTTGAAAAGGAAGTCTTAGAAAACAAACAACTCCATGATGTCCACAAGATGCTACCAACATGAAAAGCACATATTCTACACCCTTTACCAGTTTCCCCTTCTAGCCGCACGCGCTCGGATTGTCAACAAAAAGGTGATGATGCTGATGCATTAGATTAAACCTCCTGACAAGGTAAACATCCCACCCTTTCCACCCAGAACGGTGCCTAGATGACGTTTGCTCCGGTGCGTCTCCCAGGATGGCTGTTGCTTGTGCCTCTACGACCTGCAGGGCCCAGTCACAGAGCTCGCAATACCCGCGATCGAAGACCTCTTCTTCTGGGTGATTTCGGCAGTGCGGCACACCGTTTGGAGCGCTTGGGCGAAAATCTGCCCATGGGTCTGCCGGAGATGCTTCCTCTACCATTGTAGGGGAAGAGCAATGATATGCATAGCAAATAGAAGTGGACTGTAGCTACAGACTGATCTTGGAGGTTGGATGGTATGTAATGGTAAATCCTATTGGAAACACACCTGTTCAAGCCAATCGAACAATCTTCACTTATGTTTTTTCAGAGCTCAATGAGCATCTGCTGATGATCCAACAGTGTTGGCGACAGGATCCTCACAGGCTGGTTACCATTTACCATTGAGGATGGCTGTGCTTGCTCACAAGTCATTTGATACCGCATCTCCTGTGTATTATTGCGACATGTAAAATAAAACATGCATCACGTGACATTGGCATGACACAACCTTTTCCTCGCGTTCACGTCACACAACTGGGCGCTTTGGCCCAGCAAATCAATAATGGTGATCTCCCCTGGGCACATTCCCATTGCTCGAACGTTTGACATCCTCAACAAACATGGTACAGGAAAATCGCCATGTTCGATGAGAAAAGCATCCATGAATGGGTAGAAACAATGATTTTCCAGTGCGTTGCTTATTTACTGGAGAATGTTCCAATTCATCCCACCTGCACAATCTGTTGAAGCCAACAAACATCAGCTGCTCCTTCCCCAGCAATCAGAACCGGTGGGACCGGTGGGAACTGCTGGCTGCAAACTGATCATTTCGCACCTTGCAGAATCGAGAAGATTTACAGGAAATGAAATATATGAAAATGCCTGGTGAAAAATGCCTGGTGATTTTCAAATTCCCATATAATTCCCAAAAAATATGATAGATTTCCCATATTCTATGTCTGTTGAGTCTGAGTTACCCATAGAATATGCGTCTCTGTATATCCCGCTGGGTCTTGATGGGGTGTCGAGAGTTCAGACTGCTGGATTGACCCAGGGCAGTAACAAGCAGGGCTTCCCGAAATGGAGAGCCAAACCTCAAATCAAAAGTTGGTGGTCCAGTTTAATGGAGACTTTCCAAACCTACTAAGAAATTATTAGAACAGCTTGGCTTTGCAACTCTACTGCGCCAGCCATGCAAAATAACACATTCCGTGCCATGAAGATCACCACAAACTGCACCCAGCATGCGAACTAGCACTGCCACGATGTGTTGCGCACGGCACACAGTGCGCACGTTTCATCGTTCACCCCGGAGGCCTAATCCATGGCACAAAACAAGCAACACCGCCTAAAGTACTGCACGCGCCTTGCAAAATGATCAAAATGGACCTGAACATCCTGAACTTCTCCGAAATACCGTGACTTCCACATGATGGTCGGATCTCACAACGGTCGGCCGCAAATGAACAGGCGTCGAGCGAACCAGGCCCAAGCCCAGCGAAGCGAGAACCCTTCGCTACGTTGTGCAAACTGTAAAACATAGCGTCATAGCGTCAGCTTTGGGCGGACCTTCATTCGGTATACTTTGGCTCGGTGGTCCCAAATCTGGCAAACTGAGTGTCCAACACGGCCGAAAACGTTCAACATGGCAAGGCACCAACGTTTCAAAAATTTATCCAGCGGAAAAGGCTCCGAACGCTCAAACTTGCTAACATTCCTAGCTAATTGAATGGAATCAACAAAGCAGTGGAGCCTGGACACTTGGCGGCACTGAAAGGAATGCAATGGCAACCTCACAGATCACAAATCGTCTCCTTTCAGTTGCATGTTTTCTCCATGTCTCACCCACAAATGAAAAACGGATAAGAACGGGTGCCTTCATTGCCGTCTTCTCATCTTGAACTTCCCATCCTCAAAACTTTTCTCTGTGAGGCTGCCACGGACTGCCAGAATGGAGTCAATGCTCAGCTGTGACACAGCACGGATTTCTCGGCTGCCGAACCTTGGAGTTGCAAGCACAGCTGCGAAATGCTCCTTTCAAAGGTTCAATCCAATCATCAAATCATCGAATGTCATTCGAAGTCGGCAAAAAAAAACATGAACATATCCACATCTGATTCGTCGCAGCGAATAGCATGAGAAGCAGTGCTGCTTTTGTACCGAGTTTGAACTGCGAATCAGAACAAGTCAAGCGTGGTCAAATCATATAAAATCGCAATCTGAAGCGCTTGACAGGAGACCCTTCCCTTTGAACAATGTGCTTCGCAACGTCGCAATGTTACGATGCATCACCAACGACAGGCCATGGTGAAGGCAAAACAATCAAAATTCTCTCCACGTCAAGCAATGCTTTCCATGACGTCAGATAGGAATCTAGGATATTGGAAGCACCTTCCAAGAGAGATCTCTGAGTGCGAAACCAAGTTGCATCTTCAATCATGCCTAATTCACCGGCTACTTGTCAGGCTTGTCAGGTGAATGATTTCCACGATAGACTTAGGTTCATTAAGTCCAAGCAATGTGATCAACTATGATCAACTCATTCTCACTGGAAAGTGAGCCAAGGCCAGACAACTTGCTGGTGCCTTTGTTGTCTTTCATCGGATTCTCAAAGTCTAATTGCTCATGACTCACGAGCCTGAAAAGCTAATTCTACATACTGTTTCAATGTCAGTGAAGACTATGAACACAGCCAGGGGCGACGAAAAGCGCTATGATCATGTCATCTTGATCATTGCCAAAAAACCAACAAAGACGTCCTCCTCCTTGAACTGCCTGTAAACGCTTGAGCCGTTTGAGCTCACAGGATGCTTGCAGTCTTTGCTTGCCCCAGAGTCTCCTCGCACAGCTTCCTCACGCTCTCAAACTCCTTTGTCAGCTGGGAGCACTCATGTTTGAATTTAGCATCCAGCGGGTAGCTCAAATGTAACCGCTTCAAGGAATCTTCCTGCTCTTTCAAATCCTTCTTGGCCTTGTCCACCATGAAATCAAACTCTTGCGCAGCCTGCAAGTCTGGATAATCTTGAAGCACTTTCTCAAAGATTGCGGTGGAGCGGTCCCTCACATACTCGTCCACAAACGTCGTTCCATCTTCATTGCCATCATTGTAGGCATAGACGAACAATGCCGAGGCTGAGAAGATGGCGTGTATTGATACGAGAGTAATCACAGCTGGGATGCTTGCAACCATAGCCAAAGAAACCGTGGTAAAAATAGCCAAGACAGCGTAGCTACCACTTGCTGCCAGCGCCAGACCCTCTCCACCAAGGGCTTCAGAGAAGCGAGCAGACGTCAAGCTGTCGTTGGCCACCATGACTTGGATGCAGCTCTGAATGGACTTTTCAACTTCCTGTAGTTTGCTCCAGCCCACCCAACGATTGCGATATGGCACAGCCTTCAAAATTGCCTTGAAATGCGCATCCCGCTTTTCCTCAAGAGTTTTCCGAATCTCTGCAGCTCGCAATTTCACAGACTGGTCTTGATCTGCTTCTAATCCTTCCAAAGCTTTTTTGGCCTCGCACAGGCGATGCTTGACCTCATCACACAGACGACGCTCGTCCTCAGCCTCCACAACATGGAAGAGATTCATGACATTCTCAAGACTCGGCAAACACTCAATGAGGCGTCTGCATTTGAGCTGCGCGAGAGCAAAATGGACATCGGCCTCTACCTTCTGCCAATTTCCCAGCGCTGTCTCATTCTTCCTCTTGTCTTTCATGGACAAATCGAAAACTGCAGGAGTGCAGTAATTGCTGGCTTCTTCGGTGATGTCAATCAGCAGCTCAGCATAATCTGGAGCTTCCTCATCTGAGATGGCTCCGTCTCCGCCTCCGGTGTCACACTTGTTCACTAAGAGGAGCAGAGACTGCGACAGCTTCATCCAGGGCGACTTCATCAACTTCTGAAGAAACTGACGGTCCGGGTTGCCGATTTTCTTCTTCACGTCGATTACATACAAGAGCACCACCGAAGATGCGGCATGGCATTGCATGTACTCATCAAGTCTCTCCAGGTATTCCTGCTCTTGATCCAAGCCAGGCAAGTCAACCAGAATGACACCTGGTTTCAGCAAAGGGCTTGGATGTTTGACCTGCAAAGGCTCTTGCAGGCGCTCTTGAAACTCTTCTCTTCTCTTGCGCACCATCTCTTTGGGGACAGGGGTACCAGGAGAAGAAGCATCATAGTGCGCTTCACAAATGCGAGAGGTCATACATGCGGGCGCAGTGGGCCAGAACCTTTCACAGTCCAACAAGGCATTTGCGATCGTACTCTTACCCACATTGCCGCTGCCAGCCACGATGAGCCGGTCCTTCTGGTCAAGGCTTGTACAAATGTCTTGCAGCTGAGGACAAGCCTCCTTGAAGCATGTGATCTGGCACTCTTGACATTTGGCCCTTGCCTTTTTCACAAAATCTCGCAGGTTCTGGATGCAACCAGCCGAAGCAGACAAAAGTGCCAACCCTTCTCCTCGGACCTGGGAGCTGTCACCCACAAGAGTTGCCATGGCTTGACACTTGGCAGGCAAGTCTGTTCTGTTAGGGCTTGAGGTGCACATCAAATTGAACATGTGTTCCTCACAGTCTCTGTTTTAAAAAACAAGCAGCTACACCACAGTTACAGCCTGCTGTTAACGTCACACCTCCCCAGGAATGGGCCTCGACGCTGAATTCCATATCCTAAGCTTTGAGCGACCGAGACAAGAGCCGTCCAAAATCAAGCGTCAAGCGGCCGCTTTTCTAAAATTGTGATTGCCAAAACCCTTCGTGAACCAATGCTGCCATGACCTACCAAAATGTCTTTAAGGATTAGTGCATCAAGATTGAACAGTGTAGGTCAGGCTGTGACAGTTTGAGGTAGGGCTGAAGATTCTTAGGGATCACAATTGCATGACCACATACCCCTCTGCTGCAGGTCTGGTCAGCTGCATAACTGGAATGAGTGGCTCCACTGGCTCTCAATCATGTGGTGGCTCTACATTTAAAAGTGAAATGTGGGTTCATACTTCAGGGGGATCATACTCAGAAATCACTGTATTTGGACCAGGAAAGCGGCAGAAAAAATAAAAAGCCAGGAGAAATCAACATAAATTCAACATTGATCATTTCGGAAACCATCATTGTTTGACTGACTTTATGGAGTCTACAGTCCACACAACCCAGGTCGCAGCTGGTTCAGCTAGGCCA